CTCATGTTTAGGCAAGTTCAGGAATCAATTTTCTATGACTTCTGCATGTCCAGTTCATATGGCATGCTATTAAGCAGTCCAGACAAGAGAAGTTTCTTGCCCAAATGGCTAGCAAACTCCATAAGGAGTCTTTTTGATACCCATCTTCCTCTTGAAGTAGATTGGTACTGCCAGGAACAAATGAGTCTCTTTGTCATGAAAAGTCCCAAGTTCTTAAAACATTTTAAATGCCATAATCTGTTAGTCTTTGAAAGGTTTGAAGAATACCTAGCCATCTGAAAAATATCTCTGTACATCTAGAAAACCTAAATACATGACTACAAGATTGACTATTATAGATGATTATCTATTAACCTGTATTTCCTAATTATATATTACATTTTTAAATGAGCTTCACAAACACAATACTTTAATCAAGAACAGAAATATACATATAACAAAATTGACCTTAAATTTAAATAAATAAACCAAGATCCATACCAATGCTAAGAATTCTTCTCTATAACATATCCATCTTTAAATGAAAACAAACATTTATAAATAATATCTGGGAATTTGGATTTAGTTCTTTCCAAACTGCTTCCTCCTTTTTGTTGGGTGAAATAATTTTTGGAATTCATGGTGAGCTTTCAGGTCTTATTTTATCAAACCACATTAGTCTGGATGGAATCCACAGGTTTTCATACTCTGTGGAAACAAAGGCAGAACCTCTTTTCTAAAACAACATATCCTTAGACCTAAAGTTTGAAGTCATGATACCATTAAAGTATATATGTTGGTTTAGCTTAGCAGCCTGTACATTGAAATGTCTCTCTGTATTTAACTTATTCACAGTAAATTTCAAAGAAAACACAACAATATACAAAATCCAGACTTTCTGTTTATATTCCATCTTTACATGGCTTATTTTTCTTACTCTATTACTTTTGTATAAGTTTCATATTTATTTTATTATCTTTACTCCTTTAATCTATGACTCTGTACTCTTTTATATTATAGCTGTCTAGACTCTTTTTCTTCTCTCTTTCAAGCCTACATTTATCCAACAATTTAACCCATTTAGAGTTTTTTGTTTCCTATCTGAATTTGTCTTTATTGCATGCGTATCTGTAATTACTTTTTGGCCAGGAGTAATTATTTTTAAATGCTAAGTGGGCATGGCTAGGACCAACTACCTGGTCCTGCCTGTTGACTCTTCCCAGTACAACATAGCAGAGAAATGTTTGCTGCCTCTGAGAGCCATGCACACTGCCCTAGCTCCAGGGTTGCAGCAGGTCTATGTGGCCATTAAGCTACTAGTAGCATGTGGCTCACAAGCCCCATTTAAGTGATTGGCCTCCTGAAAGAGCCAGAGTTCATACTGGCAGCACAAACCAGGAGGCCTTTTTTTTTTTAATTGATTTTTTTTTATTGAGCTCTGCATTTTTTCACTTTTCTATGCTCCCTTCCCTGCTTCTCCCCTCCCACTTTTAGCCCTCCCCCAAGGTCCCCATGCTCCCAATTTACTCAGGAGATCTTGCATTTTTCTACTTCCCATGTAGATTAGATCTATGTAAGTCTCTCTTAGTGTCCTTATTTTTGTCTAAGTTCTCTGGGATTGTGGTTTGTAGGTTGGTTTTCTTTGCTTTATGTTTAAAAACCACCTATGAGTGAGTACATGTGATAATTGTCTTTCTGTGTTTGGATTACCTCACTTAAAATAATGTTTTCTAGCTCTATCCATTTTTCTGCAAATTCAAGATGTCATTATTTTTTCTGCTGCGTAGTACTCCATTGTGTAAATGTACAACGTTTTCCTTATCCATTCTTCAGTCAAGGGGCATTTAGGTTGTTTCCAGGTTCTGTCTATGACAAACAATGCTGTTATGAACATAGTTGAGCACACGTCCTTGTGGCACGATTGAACATCCTTTGGATATATACCCAAAAGTGGTATTATTGGATCTTGAGGAAGGTTGTTTCCTAATTTTCTGAGAAATCGCCACACTGACATCCAAAGGGGTTGTAGCAGCTTGCATTCCCACCAGCAATGCGGAAGTGTTCCCTTTTCCCCACAACCTCTCCAGCATAAGTTGTCACCAGTGTTTTTGATCTTGGCCATTCTTACTGGTGTAAGATGGAATCTCAAAGTTGTTTTGATTTGCATTTCTTTGATGACTAAGGATATTGAACATTTCCTTAATTGTCTTTCAGCCATTTCAGATTCCTCTGTTGAGAGTTCTCTGTTTAAGTCTATACTCTATTTTTTAAATTGGATTATATGTTCTTTTGATGACCAATTCCTTGAGTTCTTCATATATTTTGGATATCAGACCCCTGTCTGATGTGGGGTTAGTGCCTTTTTTAAGGGAACCGTGCAGTTTTTTCTGCTACTGTTAAGTCAGGAAACCTCTTAAAGGAGACATGGTGTCTCTACTTGCCACCAGCAAACAGAGCCCGGACCAAAAAAATAAATAAATAAATAAAAAACACAGCTACCAAGAAGCTGTGTTTGGCTCCCATTTTTGTAGGTCTAAAATCCCTCTTTAAGACAAAAAGCTTTTTTTTTAAGGTCTTATATCAATCTATGGCCAGACAATAGGTACCATTCTGTAGACAGGAGCTACTTGTTCTTTCCCCAGACCAGAAATAAGCACACAGAAACTGTATTAATTAAAACACTGCTTGGCCTATAAATGGCATAATCATATTTCTAGCTATCTTTTACATCTTAAATTAACCCATTTCTATTAATCTGTGTATTACCATGTGGTTGTGGACTACTGGTATGGTTCTGTCTTGTGTCCAGCATCTGTCTTCTATGGTGGCTGCATGGCTTCTTCCTGACTCTGTCTACTGTCTTCTTCTTTGTATGCTTGGAATACCCACCTTGCCCTAATCTGTATTTCAACAGGCCTAAAGCAGTTTCTTTATTAACCAATGGTATTCACAGCATATAGAGGAGAATCTCACATCACCTTCTCTTTTCTGTCTAAATAAAAAGGATGGCTTTAAATTTAACATAGCAAGATTACACACAACAAAGCAGTTATCAAACAAGAATTACAGTATTTAAATCTACTCTATCTTTTATGATAACTAAGAAAAACTATAACTATTTATTTTTATTTAGACAGAAAAGGGAAGATGATATGAGATTCCCCTATGTATGCTGTGAATATGTTTTTATTGCCATTGGTTAATAATAAAAGCTGCTTTCAGCCAATAGCTTAACAGAGTAAAGCCAGTAGAGAGAGAGAGTAGGTGGAGTCAAGGAGAAGCTGTGTAGATACCTCAGGAGACAGATAGATGCCAGATGGAACCTTACTGGTAGGCCACAACCACATGGAAATACACATATTAATAGAAATGGGTTAATTTAAGATTCAGGTGCTAGCTAGAAAAATGCATAAGCTAATAGACCAAGCAGTGTTTTAATTAATACAGTTTCTGTGTGCTTATTTCTGGTCTGGATGGCCAGGAACAAACAAGCAACTTCTGCCCAAAATATAGTATTAATAAGAAACCTTGTATGTTCAAAATTTTACCTTTTTTTAGTGAGATTATTATAAAAATATACCATATATGTTATTTAGGAATTTTTCTCTAGTTCAGAATTATTTAATTTTAGAAGACCTTATATATTAATTACCCTCTAACCGTTGTGATAAAATTGCTGATGAAAACAACTCAAGAGAGGAGGGATTTATTTGGGCTCAGGGTTTCCCATCCAACATGTAGAATAGGCACAGTAGAGTTTGCGGTGTGGTAGCAGAAGCATGTGTCAATAGCTTCTCACATTTTGATAGGTAGAGAAAGAGATAGTAAGGTTGGAAGTAAGGCTAAGCTTTAACTCTCAAAGATCTCTTTGACCCACCTTTGTCAGACGTATCTCCTACTCTAGATGCTTCAACCTCTTTCCTGCCCAAAGCATCACAAACTGTTCAGAATAAAAAGCCAGTGAGGAAAGAGGTGGGGGCTGTGAGAAAAGGGGGAACTATGAGGGCCATTTCACATTCAACTGTATATAGTACCTTTATAATTTTTATCCTCTACTGTTTTCCTTGATGCAGTGAAAAGTTTTACTTTTCCCATCTCATCTGGTCACCAACATTTTGATCTCCCTGGCAGAGATAATAGTCAGCTCACTAATACCCTTCTTAAATGTCTAGGAAGCATTTAGAGTCTTTGTCTATAGACATAGTAAAGAGAAGAATTTAAAAAAATAAAAAATAAAATTCATCAACTACACAACCAGTTTGAATTTCTTCTGGTGTTTTCATGGAATTCTTTGGTCATTTACACATATCCAAAAAATCAGTTAAATCATTCTCATAAATTCAATCCCCTCATCACATATGAAAAATTTCTCTTTGTAAATCCAGCTGTCAGGCCACATAGTGTGTGGTATGCTAGCATTCAGTATCCTATCTATCCATTGAAGAATAATGTCAGGGTCAGATACATAGTCACGTCTTACATCATGGAACTTTCAGTTTATTAACTCTCTGTAAGACCATGCATACTTCCTCATTATATCTTGATATTTGTCATTGTTGAGAAAAACAAACCATGTTTGGGGTAGCAGATTTTTCTCGGTTAGAATTCTCTTTGTGCTCGTTCTCCTTTGCTGTTCATCACAGGATGACTTTGGCAATCATTGGGAGACATGGTATGTCTTGTGGCTCATTGGGAAAATTCAACTTTTTAATAAAAAGATAAAGAAGGGGCTCTCTTATGTTATGTTTTGTGTTTATGCCTAGATATGATACCTGAATTCGGTTAAGTGAATAGATACTCAAAAAACCTAGTAAAAGAGAAAAACACCCACTTCAGTTTGGGAAAGACTCAAGCTCCTAAGGTGTAGTTTACTACTTAGGTGCACATAAATGAACTTATAGCTTCCTTTCAGAAATGAAGTCTAGGATTCATTTTATAGTAATCAATATTTGTAACCCATACTCTATCAATCAAACACAGAATGATGATTAACATTAAAACTAACAATAATTAAACAAAAAAATGTGAAGTTGAGATTTGGATTGCAATCTTTCCACTTCAAACAAATCAAGGTTTACATAATTGACTTCACATTTATTTTTTGCTAGTGTTTGACATTTTCTCCTGGTTATCTCCTTTCTACAGTAAATGTGATATTCTGAACAGACACCATAGTCTTTTAAACAACCCCCACCCAACATTTATTTATTTATTAATTAAAGAATTTCACCTCCTCCCCTCCTCCCATTTCTCTCCCACTACCCCCACTCCCCCTCACCCTCCCTCTCCAGTCCTAAGAGCAGTCAGGGCTCCCTGCCCTGTGGGAAGTCCAAGGTCCTACCCCCTCCATCCAGGTCTAGAAGGTGAGCATCCAAACAGACTAGGCTCCCACAAAGCCAGTCCATGCAGTAGAATAAAAACCCAGTGCCATTGTCCTTGGCTTCTCAGTCAGCCCTCATTGTCAGCCACATTCAGAGAGTCTGGTTTGATCACATGCTTGTTCAGTGCCGGTCCAGTTGGCCTTGGTGAGCTCCCATTAGATCAGTCCCACCATCTCAGTGGGTGGACCAACCCCTTGCAGTCCTGACTTTCTTACTCATGTTCTCCCTCTTTCTGCTCTTCATTTGGACCTTGGGTGCTCAGTCCAGTGCTCCAATGTGGGTCTCTGTCTCTATCTCCATCCATCGCCAGATGAAGGTTCTATGGTAATATGCAAGATATTCATCAGTGTGGCTATGGGATAAGGCCAGTTCAGACACTAAAGGCGTAAGTCACAAACAATCCCACACCAGTTTGGAATTATGATTAATAGAATGGTTATTTATTCAAAGGGGAAAAATCTTACAGATTACCATCCCAGACAACAGCCCCTCTGCGTGAACAGGAAAGGAGTCTAGGAGCCGGAAGCGGAGCTGGAAGCCAGAGAGAGAGAGAGTGGAGGACAGCTGCTGCTTTTTTAAAGAGAGAGAGAGACCATGCCCCAATGGGCTGGTATCTCAACGGCTATTGGCTGATGGAGCGGAAGGAGCTCCCGCAGCAAGACACCTTCTCTTCTGCTTCCCAAGGAATAAGACACCTGGGATCCCCTATAGAGTCAAGTCTCTTGCCAACCCTAAAATGGCTACCTTAATTAAAATATCTACTTTCCTGCTTCCTTATCAACCCTTCCTCCATCCCAAACATCCCATTCCCCCAAGCTCTCCCCAATCCTCCTCTTCTCCCTTCTCCCTCCCCATCACCCCTTACCCCCCCCACCCCCATGCTCCCAACTTTTGCTGGCAATCTTGTCTATTTCCAATATCCAGGAGGATGGCTACATGTTTTTCTTTGGGTTCACCTTCTTATTTAGCTTCTCTAGGATCCAAAATTATAGGCTCAATGTCCTTTATTTATGGCTAGAATCTACTTATGAGTGAGTACATATCATATTCATCTTTTTGGGTCTGGGTTATCTCACTTAGTAAAGTGTTTTCTATTTCCATCCATTTGCATGCAAAATTCAAAATGTCATTGTTTTTTTACCCCTGAGTAGTACTCTAATGCATATATATTCCACAGTTTCTTTATCCATTCTTCCATTGAGGGGCATCTAGGTTGTTTCCAGGTTCTGGCTATTACAAATAAAGTTGCTATGAACATAGTTGAACAAATGCTTTTGTAGTATGATTGGGCATCTTTTGGATATATTCCTAAGAGTGGAATTGCTGGGTCCTGAGGTAGGTTGATTCTCAGTTTCCTGAGAAACCGCCACACTGATTTCCACAGTGGTTGCACAAGTTTGCATTCCCACCAATAATGGATGAGTGTTCCCCTTACTCCACATCTTCTCCAGCATGGGCTATCATTGGTGTTTTTGATTTTAGCTATTCTGACAGGTGTAAAATGGTATCTCAAAGTAATTTTGATTTGCATTTCTCCGATCACTAAGAAGGTTGAGCATGACCTTAAGTGTCTTTTGGCCATTTGAACTTCTTCTGTTGAGAATTCTTTGTTCAGTTCAGTACTCCATTTTTTAAATTTGTTTAATTAAAATTTTAATGTCTAGTTTCTTGAGTTCTTTATATATTTTGGAGATCAGACCTTTGTCTGATGCGGAGCTGGTGAAGATCTTTTCCTAGTCGGAAGGTAGCCTTTTTGTCTTAATGACAGTGTCCTTTACATTACAGAAGCATTACAGAAGCTTCTCAGTTTCAGGAGGTCCCATTTATTCATTGTTGCTATTATTGTCTGTGCTACTGGGGTTCTATGTAGGAACTCTCCTGTGCCCATGTGTTGCAGACTACTTCCCACTTTCTCTTCTATCAGGTTCGGTGTGGTCACATTAATATTGAGGTCTTTAATCCATTTGAACTTGAGTTTTGTGCATGGTGATAGATATGGATCTATTTTCATTCTTCTACAGGTTGACATCCAGTTATGCCAACACCATTTGTTAAAGATGCTTTCTTTCTTCCATTGTATAATTTTAGCTTCTTTGTCGAAAATCAGGTGTTCATAGGTTTGTGGATTAATATATGGGTCTTCATTTCGATTCCATTGGTCACCATCTCTGTTTTTGTGCCAATACCAAGCTGTTTTCACTACTGTAGCTCTGTATTAGAGTTTAAGTCAGGGATGGTAATGCCTCCGGAGGTACTTTTATTGTATAGGATTGTTTTGGCTATCCTGGGTTTTTTGTTTTTCCATATAAAAAAAAAGTTGATTTATTGTTCTCACATAACAGGATTTGCTCCTTAGTTTTCTAACCAGAAACTCAATGTCTGTACCTATATAGATAGTGGTATCTCCTTGCTTCTCTATGACCACTGGTTGTTCCTAGCTACTAAAGTTCCTTTTTAGGAGTCTTCCAAATCTTTGACTTCTCAATTTTCCTTAAAAGCAAACTTAAGTAGACCAGGTGAACCAAATGAATTGTTTAGCACAGTTGCCTCGTGTAGATGCTCATTCATTTCCTAACTCATTTCTGTATTCATACATTCTACAATATATCCATTCATTTATTTCTTAACAAATGTTCTGGAACCAGATTTGCCTTTGGGTTGCCAGCACATAAATAACGAGACAAAGACTTATAAATGATAATTATGAAACTTCGCCTTAGTTTAAGATTGCTCCACTAGCTTGTATAACTTAAATTAACCCATATTTTTAAAATTAATCTATAATCTGTCATGTGGCTCTTACCTCTCTCCCATTCTGAGTGTTTGATTCGTTTAACATCTCAATGGCATCTCCTGCACATCTCAATTATTCTCTTCCTCTCTCTAACTGGAGGTCCTGCCTATTTCTCCTGCCTAACTGCTAACCATTCAGCTTTTTATCACACCAATCACAACAATACCTCTTCACAGTGTGTAAATATTCCACAACAATGTTCATTTTGCATCGATCAGAAATTGAATGACACTTTGGAAGCCTTCATATATACACAGTCAAGTGGAAGAATAAAAAGGAACAGATCTCCAACATGAAGGAGCACAGTTTAATCAAAGAAAAGACATAAACCCAACAATAGGGCAATGCATAATGTTCTCTAACAGAGGTGGCAATGAATCTGAAATAAAAGTGATTTGTTTGGACATTGATGGTGGTGAAGGGGGCTGGAAAAATCTTTATGGAGGAAATGAATCTATAGTGCAGACTTTTAGTTTTATTTAGCAAACAAGAAGTGTGTGATTTGCAGCAGGGGCAATAGATTAAAGAACTTCACTTCTAGTAACGAATTTATTGGTTTTAGAATATGTTAAGATAAAAAAGAAGCTAATTCCAACTTTCAATTTTTCTTTTACAGAAAATAAATTTTTATACAATGTGTTTTATGTTTTTGTCTTCCACAATTCCTCCAAGATCCTCCCGCAACTTACTGCCTACCCAAATCCATACTATTTCTGTCTCTCATTAGAAAACAAACAAATATCTATATACTAATATATAACAAAATAAGATATAACAAAACAAAAAACTTCAGAATAGTACAAAATGAATAGAAGAAAAGGTGCCAGAGAAAAGCATGAGAAATATATAAAGATGCAGAGATGTTCACACACACAGGAATCCCATAAAAACTAAAGCAGAAGCCATAATTTATAGACAAATGTCCTGTAAGGTAAAACAAAAAAAAAAAAAAGAAAGAAAGAAAATGCCCTGACAAAACACTGTGAGACAAAGAACCTTCAAAGGCACCACCAGTTTCATTTTATGTTGGCATCCACTGCAAGGCATGGGGCTTGTCCTTAAGAGTGGCTTGTTTCCCAAGAGAGACTTCGCTGGAGAAAACTAGTTTTTCATTTGCCAGAGGTTATCAATTGGACATAATGTCTGGGTTAGTTAGTCATGGAAGATTGTATCTACTTCCTCCCTCAGTGCTGGGTCCCCATCTGGCAGACTTACACAGGGCCTGTGTGTGCTGCCACTATCTTTGTCAATTCTCATGTATATGTATATATATATATATGTGTGTGTGTGTGTGTGTGTGTGTGTGTGTGTGTATGTATATAAACATATGTATGTATGTATATGTAGTATTTAGAAGATCTTATTTATTTGGTGACTTTTATTTACTCTGGTTCTTACAATCTTTTAGCTTTTGCTTCCCTGAAGCCTGAGAAGACTTAATAGAGATACTCCATTTAGAACTGAGTATTCTAAGGTCTCCTGTTTTCTGAACATTGTCTGGCTGTGGGTTTCTGTCTTTGCTCCTTTCTACTGCCAAGGGAAGTTTCTCCAGTGATGGTTGAACAAGACACTGATCTATGAGTATAGAGAATATTGTTAGTAGTCATCTTATTACTGCATTCCGTTAGCGGCGCAGTAGTTTTTGATTGTCTCCTAGGTTTCTGACCTATCTTGTTGCTGGAATATTTACAAGTTAAGATACATTTATCTCCCTTCAGGTTTTATTTAAATTCTCCCAATCCTGGACTATTTTAGTGAGCTGCTATTTTTCTGGCCACACTACTAAAAAAAAACATACAAAGTTATTAAATGGTGCACTCACATCTATTTTTGAAACTTTGGATTCCCGGCGGGATAAAAGAACAGCTTAAGATTTCTGGCACAATCTCTGGCTTCGTGTACTTCGCATTCTTTGACAAG